AAATCACATCCATAATATGTTTAGCGGGATTTCGGGTCAATTGAGCACAAAATGAGTCAATTTGAGTGACAAATGCATTTATACCGGAAGAAGCAAACATTTTATCAAGGTGATTCAGAAGACAAAGTTGAAGAGCAAGAAAAGCCGCATCTGCCAGACAAAAGTGGCCGAAGGCGCCCAAATAGGCGCCCAAAATGGAGGCCTTCGCGGCCGCCTACGGGAAAATTCAGAAGTCAACCTCGCTTTGACTCGGGACCAGGAAAAGACCGAAGGCTGCCGACACTGGACAGAAGGCGGCCGCCTACGGTGGCCGCCTGCGGCACAAGGGGACGAAACCAACCACCGGTCGACCAGACAAGATGGCAGGCGGCCAGACAGGACGGCAGGCGGCCGCCTGCTGGACCGCCTGCGGCGGCCGGGGTCCGCCGGGATCCGTCGGGATCCGATCTGCCAACGAAAAGATGGCAGGCGGCCATTTTTGACAGAAGGCGGCCGCCCTCTGTGGCCGCCTACGGCTGACGAGACCGGCCACGATCCGCTGTCGGCGACGGGACGGAAGGCGGCCAAAATGAGACCAAAGGCGGCCGCCTGGTTGGCCGCCTACGGAAGGCGGCCAGATTCCGACGAAAAGCGGCCGCCGTCTTGGGCGCCTTCGGTGAAATTTCTGCTATAAATAGCAGGCTTTTTCCCCATCTCAAACACACCAATTTCAAGCCCAAATCAGATCAAAAAGGGCGTCTTCTTCCTCCTCAAAGCTCGGATTTCCACCATTGTTGCACCTTCAACTTCAATCTTTCATATCTTTCTCATTTTAGCTCCAAATTGTGAGTTCTTTATATGTATTTTCATCTTTTCAATGAGTAGAATCTGAATCTGTACTTAGTTTTTTCTATCTATGCTTCGAAAATTTCCAGAAAATTATTCCACTATTTCGCATTTTCTTCTTAAATTTGAATAAAATAGTTGTTGACATTAAATCCATTCCAATTAATTATATAGTTGTTTACTAGCCTCAAGGTAGTTATTTATCATAACAAAGTTAATTTTTACGAAGTAGAAGTAAATTTTAATAAATTCCGGCATTTAGTTGTTATTATTGCATAAATTAAATTAAATACTCAAAAAAGGCAAAAAATTAGTTTTTGTCCTAATTCCAGTTTAATTCACAGTAATATCACTCCTAGTAGTCAATATAAAATTTAGACGAATTTAGAATAATTGTAGTTGTTTTTTTGTATTTTCTAGTTAATATTGAGAAAATTATCAATTAGTTGTTAAAATTGGATTTTAGGTTCAAAAATTCGTGAAAAATTCTAGAAAGTTATATTTTAGTTTCTACAAGTTTATTGTTCCATAATATAATTTTTGCTATCATCCATGTTTAATTCCTTGTTAATGTTGAATATATTCATTATATTGTTAATTGTTAAAATGATCTTTATTAGCTAAATTTCTTTTGGGCATGAATTGACTAAAGGAATATGGATTGACTTGTTGACCAAAAAATTAGGGATTAAAATTAATAATTTGGACTAGTTGTTTGAAATGATGAAATAGTAATTAATAATTGTTAGCCATATTCATTAATTAAATTCTTGGAAAATTATCTCTAACTTGTCAATGAGATTAGAAAATAATTTAAGCCAACCATATTCGAGCACATTAATAAGGCCTAGAAATAGGATAATTTAATGAAATGGATTTACATCTTGTCTATGAGAGATAAATTCAATTGCTTAAATAATGAGTTTAACTAGTTAATGAATTTGGCTATTTTTATTAATTAAAATATTGGAGAATTATTTCTACCTTGTCTATGAGGTTAGAATTTAATTCAAGCCAACCATTTTGAACACATTAATGACACCTAGAAATAGGATAAATTAATGAAAATAGTTTCTATTCTTGTCTATGAGGAAAGAAATTATTAGTCCAATTTTAGTTTTAATTTCCCTAATTACTAGGTCCAAGAATATATCCATTTCTAATTACTCGATTCATTGCCCTTATTTGCATCAATCCATTTAAGTTTAATATTATATTTTTTTTCCTTTAGTTTATTTTTGAGCCATCATTAGTATTTGCACAATTTAATTTACTTTCTTTTCCAAAAAGTAGTTTAGAAAATCAATCAAAAGTTTTAATTTGGAAAGCTTCCAATAATTTGCGATAACCTGTGACTGGACTTAAAATCAAGAAGCTCCTCCGCCATTCCTCGAGAGACACGATACTCGGGGAAAAACCGAAAGGTTAGACTCCGTTTTACTACAACGCCGCGAAAGCGGGTATCAAATGGCGCCGTTGCCGGGGAATGGCACGGTGATTTCTTGATTTTGATTTTAGCATGGGCGAATTCAAGTTAGGGAGACTTTCTTTTTCTTTTTTGTTTTGTTCTCACGTGTTTGCTTGAGATTTCCTCATGGATTACTCAAGTGAACACTTTAATTCTCAACCACCATATCACTATCCATACTATGAACAACAATCTTTTCAAAATAATCAAAATGAAGGATACTATGGACAAGGTTATGAGGATAACAATCAATGGTGCGAAAATCCACCTTTGGGGTATGGAGATTACCAATTTCAAGATAATTATTTCCACCAAGGGCAAGACTTTGAAGGCTGTGATGATTTCTCCTATCAAGGTAATTATCATGATGATTCTAATTATCATGAAAATTACCAAGAAAGGCTAGAAAATCATTACACCAGCACAAACGAGTACTCCTACGAGGGTAACTCTGGAATTTCACCTTATCCTCAACACGAACTCGAAGAGTTAAAATCGTCCTTACTCGATTTTGTGGAAGACTTAAGAAAGACAAGGATTGAACTAGCATCTCATGATGAGAGTATCAAGGAATTGTTTGAAAAAATCATTTATGACAATGACCACAAAGTTCAACAGGAGACATACGAGGAAGGTGCTAAATCTGAGGAGGAGGTTGCGGTAACCATGGGCGAGATGGTTGAAAATCTTCTCACCCCTATTTCTTTCGAGCCTCTCATTGCTACTGAGAGAGAGCCTATCCTCGTAGAACTTAGTTCTCAAGAGCCCCATATGAAAGTGCCCAATGAGGTTGATGAAGAAATCATAGATGATGAGATACTTTGTGATGAGGAACCTACCCTACCATCTATGGATGACCTCTCATTTAAAAAGTCCCTGAAGGATAGCCTTGATGATGATTTTGATCCTACACAAACCCAAGCGCCTGTTGAAATAGTTGATGAAACTTGTGATGTGGAGGAAACAATGCCCGATGATGCCTTCTTTGATTCTCTACTTAATGATGATGAGCATAATTGTGCTAGGCAAGGACTTGTTTGCCTAGATGATATTTGTGGGAGTAGTGAGCGAAGTTGGGATGGATTTTTAGAGAGTGACACGGAGTTTGAATTTTGTGTTGTAAATGTCGAGGCCATAGTTGAAGAAGAAGAAACCCAAAAGGAGGAGCCTACTCGTAATGTTCTTACCATGGTGGTCCCACTTGAGCGATTTCAGGCACCTGAGGCCCCTGATCCTGAAATACTTGTTGATTATACTAATGAGAGTGATGCAGGATATGTGCTAATTTCTTGTTCGAACGATGTGTTCTTTGAAGATTATATCACATTTTGGTGGCCACGAGAGTTTGAGGGTCTACGCCATCTGACGGCATACCTGGAGGATAAGGTGGAAGCACTAATGATGAGTGCCCCACAATTGACATGCATAGCTGAGAGTTCTCTCTCAAACGTCAAGCTAGTGACGTTAAAGAAGCGCTTCTTGGGAGGCAACCCATGTTTTTCATAACATTGTTTGTTTGTTTTGTGTGTTTGCAGGGTGTGCTTCAATGTTGATGAAATAAGAGTTTGGCTTAGGCCTTACGGGAGGACACGAGTGATGCTTAGTTTTCTTCCTTAACATTTTATTGTGTTTGTTTGTTTATTCAGGTTGGACATTGTGCCGCTCTTTTGACTTAATTGCTCTTACAAACTGACTATGAATGATGTAATGATTTTTATTCCTGTTTCATTATTCCTCTTCACAAAATCTTTTCAAAACTCAAGTGTGAGGAAAGAACCAAAAAAAAAATGTGCCTTTATTTCCCAATTTTGTGCCTCATAAGAAGACCTCGAGGGCGAGGTCCAGCTCAAGTGTGAGGAGGTTGCGTTTTACACTCAAAAGTCAAAACCTTGTTTTAGAACAATCTTTTTACTATTTTTGATATGAAACATTAATTTCTCAATTTGTTATCAAATCATAAAATACTTTAGATAATCACCCTTATTATAAGAATTTACTTTTATTATTATTTTTGAAAACTTAAAATTGTTATGGGTTTTTGGTTGCGAATGTAAAGGTCCGAATTTGTTTTAATTGGACATTCATTTTATTCATTAAAAAAAAAACATGTTACTACTAATAAACCTCTTCAAAACTCATTGTTATAGGACAATTCCATCTCCGAAAAGGGGCTCTGTTTCATTCGTTAATCACAGTCTGTGAGAATGAAATATGCATTTACCATGGGATAACACCGCCAACAAGAGTGAAAAAGAGCAAAAAAAAAAAAATGGTGAACAAGATGAATGTCCAAATTAAAATAATGAAAACCTTGGGATAAGGAATTGATTGGTGGTTTAACATAATAAATAGTTTTTCTTAAGTAATACTAATTTTAAACTCTTGTATTTTGGGTGATTTTTCTAAAATGTTTAAAAATTGAGAATAAAAGATGAGGTTTTTGTTTCTACTTCTTTAAAATAGCAATTAGATTGTAATACAGTTAGGCTTACCTTTTGAGTGTGTTTACAACTAATTCGTCGCTTGAGGACAAGCAACGCTTAAGTGTGAGGAGATTGATAAGTCCATTTTTGTACTTATTTTTCTTATCAAATTTAAGCGATTTTTGAATGAAAATAGAAAGAAAAGACACATTTTATATATTTTGGTTCAAGTTTCATGAAATCAGGTAAAAATCACATCCATAATATGTTTAGCGGGATTTCGGGTCAATTGAGCACAAAATGAGTCAATTTGAGTGACAAATGCATTTATACCGGAAGAAGCAAACATTTTATCAAGGTGATTCAGAAGACAAAGTTGAAGAGCAAGAAAAGCCGCATCTGCCAGACAAAAGTGGCCGAAGGCGCCCAAATAGGCGCCCAAAATGGAGGCCTTCGCGGCCGCCTACGGGAAAATTCAGAAGTCAACCTCGCTTTGACTCGGGACCAGGAAAAGACCGAAGGCTGCCGACACTGGACAGAAGGCGGCCGCCTACGGTGGCCGCCTGCGGCACAAGGGGACGAAACCAACCACCGGTCGACCAGACAAGATGGCAGGCGGCCAGACAGGACGGCAGGCGGCCGCCTGCTGGACCGCCTGCGGCGGCCGGGGTCCGCCGGGATCCATCGGGATCCGATCTGCCAACGAAAAGATGGCAGGCGGCCATTTTTGACAGAAGGCGGCCGCCCTCTGTGGCCGCCTACGGCTGACGAGACCGGCCACGATCCGCTGTCGGCGACGGGACGGAAGGCGGCCAAAATGAGACCAAAGGCGGCCGCCTGGTTGGCCGCCTACGGAAGGCGGCCAGATTCCGACGGAAAGCGGCCGCCGTCTTGGGCCATAAGATCAGCTTTGATTGTAGTAGGAATGTCTTTGCCATAAGATCAGCTTTGATTCTCTGTCTATCCTCTTCAGTGTACTCAGCCTTTGTCTTCAATCTTCGTTCTTGATTAACAGGTGGGTTGTTTGCATCAACGCCATTCACACTTGCCCAAATCTCAGCAGGTCCTTGGGTGAGGGATTCCAGCATAGCGGAAGAGTTATCTTTACTTTCTAGAAAATTTAAGAATCTTGTTCTCCACATCTGGTATTCACCTCTCCTCAGAATTGGGGGCCTACTGTCATTACCAAGTGATAAAGCATCCATCTTTGTAGTTGTTGATTTTGAAAAAAGATCGTTCGAGTGTTTTGATCAGATAAAATTAAGTTCTTAACTGTAGAATGTCGAAAACCTAATTTTCAGGAATAAGTTCGAGAAGGGGGGTCGAGAACTTCTATCGAGAAGCAGTTTTCGTTATTTTGATATCGAAAACCTTGCTATCGAGAAGCTAGGTTCGAGAGACAGCTTTCGAAAAGTCAGTATCGAGAACTTTAAGTTCGAAAACTTAGGTTCGAGAACTGAATGTCGAAAAGCCGTATCGAGAACCTGCAAATGCGAAAACAAGATATCGAGATTTTAATATCGAAAACTGAGTATCGAGAACAGAAGTTCGAGAACTCTAATCGAGAACTTATGTCGAGAAGTCAGTGTCGAAATCCTGCAAATCAAAAATCAATTTTAAACTAGAATAAAACAGCTTTTCGATAAGGTCCTTGATCTCGAGAATCTCTTTGTGCAGTTTGAAGACTGAAACACTTGTAGAAGCCTCGAGAAACCTGCTTTTCGATATCAGAATATCGAGAACCTCAAATCTGAAACTTAAACTGTTCGAAAATCTAGGATATACTGCTTGCTCGTTTTGAGAGGCGATTTCAGCAGTACATCTTTTACACTTTTTCGTTCAAAAATGAGATTACAGCGATTAAAAGGGTACAATATCGAAAAGAAGAAAACAGAGGACTTCGAAAACTTTTTCTTCGGCGATCACACTCGAGCAGGCTCTGATACCAGCTTAGCAGACTAACGATCAGCTATCGTTAGTCTGAAGCAATCAACACCGCGTGTTTTACTCAGAACAGAACATCAATTCACAAGCGCTTCAACAAGACCCCCTATGAAATACTCTTCAACAGAACACCTGACATCTCATTCTTCAGAGTGTTTGGCTGCAAGTGCTTTGTTCTAAATGACAGAAATGAAAGAAGCAAGATGGATCCGAAAGCCGTCGAAGGAGTATTCATTGGGTACTCCACGCAATCAAAGGCGTATCGGGTCTATCTACGTGATCGCAGAACAGTCATTGAGAGTGTCAACGTTGCATTCTATGAAATGGCTGACTTTGCTTCTGAACATTTCTTGATAGAAAACACACTCTCTGTTCAAAGGAAGCAACCTGATGAAGCTAAAGCAACAAAGCAAACAACGGCTGACAGTGCAATTCTCGACTCTCTCTTTGAACATTTCTATGAAAATGCAAGCACTTCCAACCAACAATTACCAACAGAAGCTGCTCAACCACCATTCATGCCTGACCTCAGTGAGGAAGAAGCTGACTCACCTCATACATCAGATCACGAAGAAATTGAGGATCATGGCACGGCAGCAACACAAGCAACTTCACCAGCACAAGTTTCAGAAATACCAGCTCTAGCAAACACAGAACCTGAATCGACCCCTGAGCACTCCACTCCTCAACAAACCACATCTACTACTTTTGAGGACCCGGATCACACCATCGTAACTCCAATCCCTCTAACACATGAGCGGAAATGGACAAAGGCACATCCTGTAGAACAAATTATTGGAGATCCGAGTCGTGGAGTTTGCACAAGAACGGCTACAGCAAATGAATGTCTCTTCTCTTGCTTCATCAGCCAATCTGAACCAACCAAAGTTTCTGAAGCTCTCGCAGATTCAGATTGGGTGATAGCAATGCAGGAGGAGATCAATCAGTTTGAAAGATTGGATGTATGGACCCTGGTGCCAAGACCCCCAAAGAAAACAATAATTGGCACCAAGTGGGTCTTCAAGAACAAGAAAGATGAAGACGGTGTGATTATCAGAAACAAAGCCCGACTGGTAGCAAAAGGGTACAATCAACAAGAGGGAATTGACTATGATGAAACCTTTGCACCAGTGGCCAGAATTGAAGCAATTAGGTTGTTCCTTGCCTATGCTGCTCATAAGAGTTTCATCGTGTATCAAATGGATGTCAAGACTGCATTTCTAAATGGAGAACTGAAAGAAGAAGTTTACGTGGCACAACCAGAAGGCTTCGTTGATCCTGAACGTCCACATTATGTCTACAAGCTGAAGAAAGCTCTGTATGGACTAAAACAGGCACCGAGAGCCTGGTATGATGCACTATCTGACTTTCTTGTACAATCAGGTTACTCGAAGGGAAAGATAGATCCCACTCTGTTCATCAAGCAAGAGAACAGTGACATCATGCTGATACAAATCTATGTTGATGACATCATATTCGCCTCGTCCAACCCGAATTTCTGCAAAGAATTCAGCAACCTGATGCGCACTGAGTTCGAAATGAGCATGATGGGAGAGTTGAACTTCTTCTTAGGGCTACAGATCAAGCAACTGCCAGAAGGAATCTTCATCTGCCAGTCAAAATACATCCATGAAATGCTCAAGAGATTCAAGATGGACAGCAAGTCAACCATGAAAACCCCCATGTCTCCCTCACAAAAGCTCGACTCTGACCCTTCTGGGACTTCCGTCGATGCTACCAACTATCGGGCTATCATCGGTTCCTTGCTGTACCTGACATCTAGTAGACCGGATATTGTTTTTGCAACCTGCCTGTGCGCTCGTTTTCAAGCAAATCCAAAGGAATCACATCTGAATGCAGTGAAGAGAATCCTGAGATACCTAAAAGGAACAGTCAATTTAGGACTTTGGTATCCCAAGGACACGGGTTTTGACCTTGTTGGTTACTCAGATGCTGATTTTGCAGGTTGCAAGTTAGATCGAAAAAGTACATCCGGTGGTGCTCAATTTCTGGGAGAGAAGCTAGTCTGTTGGTCCTCCAAGAAGCAGAACTGCGTGTCAACTTCTACAGCCGAGGCAGAATACGTTGCGGCTGCTAGTTGCTGTTCACAAATCCTATGGATGAGGACACAACTCAGAGACTATGGCTTCCTATTCAACCATATTCCCATCTACAGTGACTCCCAGAGTGCAATCGCCATAACCAGCAACCCCGTTCACCACTCGCGCACCAAGCACATCGATTTGCGCTATCACTTCATCAAGGACCATGTGGAGAAAGGAGATGTTGATCTGTACTTTGTAAGCACTGAGTTTCAACTGGCTGACATATTTACTAAGGCACTGGATGAAAAGAGATTCCAGTTCCTAGTATCTAAGTTAGGCATGTTGAACTTCGATCCTATGTAATTGTGCTATCTCCATGGTCTGAATAAAATGTGTGCGTGTGTGGTGTGAGTTGCATGTGTTGAGGGGGAGAAAAGGGAGAAAATAAGAAAGAGAGGTATACTTTGAGGGGGAGAAAATCAGAAAAATAGTGTGTGTGAGTGTGTGAGAAAATCAAGAAAAGAAAGAAAAATAGTGTGTGTGTGTGTAGAAAATCAGAAAAGAGAGAAAAAGAGTGTGTGTGAGTGTGTGAGAAAATCAAGAAAAGAAAGAAAAATAGTGTGTGTGTGTGTAGAAAATCAGAAAAGAGAGAAAAAGAGTGTGTGTGAGTGTGTGAGAAAATCAAGAAAAGAGAGAAAAAGAGTGTGTGTGTGTGTGTTTTTTCATGCACATTTCGAGGGGGAGTTTTGATCTGAGAAAGTTTTTTTTAATAAACTCTAACTTGGGGCCCAAAATTTTAAAGATTCTCTAAACCGGGCCCGCTCTTGACATTTGGGCCCAGATTACTTTTCACAAGGCCCAAGTTCCAACTGTTCGCATATAAAAGGAGACTTCGAGAACAGTTTCACGCTTAAATCTCATTTTCTCGCATCTTGAGTTCTCGAAAAGATGGTTCTCGATGTTTAAATCTCGAGAAGGACTTTTCGATACTTCTATATCGAGAACCAAGTTCTCGATGTTTGAATATCGAGAAGAGCTTCTCGGTATTTATACCTCGAGAACCTACTTCTCGATGCTTAATCCTCGAGAAGTTGGTTCTCGTAGTTTGTACTTAGGAAATTTTTCTCGAGGTCCCACCTATACACACCTGATCAAAAAAAAAAAAAAAAAAAAAAAATTGCAAAAACTGATCAAATAAATTTTCAAATGAACAATTTGTGCTGACCCAATTCTTTCAGTTAACAATGTCAGGAACAGATAGAACTGCACAACCAAGCAACGCAGTGTACCCAAAGGAGAAATGGGTCCCACTGTACGACAACAACTTCCAACTGGACCTAAAGCTGTTCAAATGCCAGGATCCAGTGATATTATCAATCCTACAGAAGCATTACCTCTGGTCTGCATTTAATGAAGCCAAACCAGTGCCAGAGGTGTATCTACAACAGTTCTGGGGCCTGATGCACACAGCCTCAGAGAAGGACAGGTCGAAAATAATGACCAAACTGAATGACGTGCGAGTGGTGCTGACACCATCAACAATCAGGGAGACACTGAAGCTCCCAGTGCTCAAACACTACGCATCACTCCCCTCAAACGAAGAACTGATCAAGGGGATGAAGGATCTAGGCTATGACAGCCCGCTGCCCTTGCTGTCAAATTTCACTATCTCCAACCTGCCCCACCCATGGAAGAGTCTGTTCGGCCTGGTCAACAAATGCTTGTCTCCTAAGCACGCCGGACATGACAAGTGCAACAAGCAGATCCTACAAATCTTCCATGGGATCGCATTTGACAAACAGTACGACATGGCACAGCTCTTCTGGACAGAGCTGATGGACCAGGTCAAGATGAAGGAGAACAACAAGGGAAACACAATTCCCTACGCACGGTGGCTGGCGCTGATGATCCACAACATGATGGAAGCCACCCCTGCAATCCCTAAGCGTAAGGAAGACAAGCACTTCACTGCTCCCAAACTCAAGTACTTTCAGAAGGACAAGAATACGTCAGAAGCACTGCCAATCCCAGACTCTCTACTTGACCTTGCAAATCCGAGGGATAAAGCAGTCATCGACTACAAAGAGTCGCTGAAGAGAACGGTCCCTATGATTCAGCAAAACCCAGCTGGACCTTCCCCGGGAACCAAGCCGAGAGCAAGTGAGGGTAAGAAGAAGAGAGCCCCGCCACAGAAACCAGTGGCAACCCGGCCTAATGATGATCAGTCTGCTAACTCTTCCGAGAGGACCCAGACTGCTGAGGGCCACCCTA